TGTTTGTGGAGAGGAAACAACTTCATAACATAGATCAGAAAATATTGCGATATGGACCCTTTAAAAGTCAACTTTTCTGCAGTTGTTTTTCCACTCCACACAAATATTGGTTTCAGCTTATGGAGCTTTCACGCCTTGATGTCTCTCTTCTAATGTCAACAAAGCCTAAACAACCAGCTCTCAGCTCCTGTTCCATCAGAGGGGAGCGCAGCATGAGGCGTCGCAGTTCACCGATCGGTCACTGGAGTCATTATTAACAAGGGTTTTCTCAAAACTTCCCCTGAAGAAACCTTTCAAAGATTGTCGGAGCGTGAGCAGATGACATTTAGAGGGTATTTCAACATAGCCAACAGTTGACTTAAAGGTGCATTGTGTAACTTTTCTGGTGGAGGGTTCATCAGATGCTTTTTTTCCATGGAGATGTTGTTGCTTTGTCTGGAATGTTCACAGTATAGGATTAAACCTTTTGATCTATTGCTCTTTTTCTCGAGCTATAATACCATCTGTGATTGTACAGTGGTCCCTCGTTTTTCGCAGGAGTTACGTCCTAAAAATAACCCGCAATAGGTGAAATCCGCAAAGTAGGCAACTTTATATTTTACAATGATTATATCTGTCTTAAGTCTGTAAAACCCCTCACCACATACTTTATACACTTTTCTCTGACAGGATAGTTAACCTTTCTTGCATCCTTCTTAAGACTTAGTGCTGCTGTCGTTCTCATTCTTTTGTTATTTTCCTCCTTCTTTATGTGACGAACCGAAGATTAATTTATTCTGTAATGGAGCCCTACAGCGCAGAGTACTGCACAGGTCCATTTATGGAGACCCCCAGTACAGCACTGCACTCACACAGTACAACACCTCACGCGCCAGTTAACCCGAGATAAAATTTTTGTACTGCCTACACTATGGACTGAACCAAGACTAAACCAGGACTAACGCAAGACTAACCTAGGACTGATTCCAGGACTGAAGAGGAGGACTAAACCAGGACTGAACTACGACTAAACCAGGAGTAAACCAGGACTAAACCACTGAAACAGGACTCACTGTCGGGACGGGCTCGAAGGTGACCGCAGGAGAAAGGACCGACAAAGGTAAGTGCGGCAATTGCCCGATCAAGCTTTGCGGACACTCTGTTCGGGGTTCTCTCTCTTTAGTCCAAGATTAGTCCTGGTTTAGACCTGGATTAGTCCTGACCCACCCGTGTGTAATTACTACTCGCTCATAATACGCAATATGCATTCATACACTGTAAAAAAAAAACAAAAAACATGCAAAATTGCTGAAAATCAGCAAAACAAACCACAAAAGGTGAACCACGATATAGTGAGGGACAACTGTATACATGTAAGGTAGAGCTGTTTAATGTCATACTGTGGGACATTCTAAAGCAATGACATATCCATAGAAATGACGGTGATGGGCCCCCAGCCAAAAAGTTAGACAGTACACCTTTAACTTCGAAGAAAAAATATTCTCTTGAGATTTCGACGGTACAGAACATAAATAACCCTAAGGTGCTTTTCAAGATACTGTTGATAGGTCTATGTATTATTATGCAATTCTATAACTTCCACCTACAGCTTCCATAAATATAGATTGGGCTATGCAGTTGTGAACTTGAGGGAAACTTTTAGAATACAGCCCTGAGCAGTGTTCAGTTTGAAAGCATCACTAGCTCAGGCCAAAAGCCAAAGTTTCTATCAGCCAGTGCTTTGTTTAGAGCACTTTGCATAAATAAACTCTTCTCTGTTAAGCTCAGGCCAGAATCCGAGTCTGCCAATGAACTTTGCACTGCAGGCTTTGTAAATGATGCCACGTGACCACAGATTTGAACGAAGAGGAAGTGGAATGTTCACTGCATGGAAAATACCGGTGAAGATTATTTCAAATTTTTGATTTAAATGGGTCATATTTCGCTATTTTCTGATCTCTGTTATAATGTGGTTTCTTGGAGTTGTGTTTTGTTTCATTCACACATGTTTAAAACACAAATCTTACATATTTCTGCAGAAAAAAACACTCTGATCCACCTTGTAATGACATACAGGAAGGGCTCCACTGTGTTTTTAAACTCTATAAACCTTCACTAGAATCATTTGGACAATTTGAGCTCTGGAATTGCCAATCTCCACTGAACTAAAGGTAAAAGGTTCACTTGAAAACTACTGCTTCATAACATCACAAGGTGTCACAGACTTTTTTTTTTTTATTTTTTTTTTTAGCTTTTCAGATGTAGACAAACTAATGCTAAAGGATTACTCATGTGTGAATGAAACAAAACACAACTCCAGGTATGTTTTTGAGGAGGAATCAAGATTATAACATGGCTTAAAGCTCACAAGAGTCAACTGAGATGTTTTGCTTTCCTTAAAATGTTCCACATGTTACTGAGCATCTCCATCTTGCATTTGTTCAATTACATGTGCTTTTATTACTAATGAAATACAATGAAAAACTCTTATCTTTATGGTCAAACTGTGGAATATTTCAGGCAAATCCATGACATCTTTGTAGAGAAAATGGTGTAATGTGGAGTTATTCTCCACCAGAAAAAAAAAAACAAAAACATAGTGCATCTTCCAACGTTTTCTTACTGAGAAAAACAACAAGCAAAAAACTATCAAAGAATAACAAGCAACAACTTGTAGAGGACAGCACTGTGGGAGTTTCACTGTAAAGCAGAATCTTACACCATGACGTCTACTGCTCCCACTCTACTGTTATGACAACATCTCCCACTATACGAAATATTAAGATGTATGAAACATGGTCCATGAGATTGTTATGGAGCAAGAAAGCTTTCAGAAATATTTGTGAGCACAGGATAGAGAGATCTGTGCATATTTGGGAAACCTGTGCATATTTGTCTGTTTGTGCATAAAATAAATATTCATAAACTGTCGAATGAGTCCATATGTACATAAAATGTTGTGTGTAATTTATCCATCAGAATATGAAATGAAAAGTTACAACATCAAGAATTACAATCACGAAATGAAAATTTACGATTACGCTTTCTTCAGTACGAATACGAATTTACAGGCAGAACTTCTGAACAACAATGCAGTGCAAAAGTCCCGCATCTCGACTGATGTTTCGTCTGCTCAGTAAATAATGCCTGTGAAGTGATGACGTGATGTATCTGTGAATTCGTATTCGTACTGGAGTAAGCGTCGTAAATTTTCATTTCGTGATTGTAATTCTTGATGTTGCAACTTTTCAATTCATATTCTGATACACACAATATATTTTATGTTTGACTGGACTCATTCAAGAGTTTATGAATATTTATTTTATGCAGAACTACAGCCAAATATACACAGGTTTCCCAAATATGCATGGATTTCTATCCTATTCACACAAATATTTCTGAAAGCTTTCTTACTCCATAACAAGCTCAGTGATTATGTTTCATACATCTTAATATTTCGTATAGTGGGAGATGTTATCATAACAGTAGAGTGGGAGCAGTAGACGTCATGGTGTGACATTCTACTTTACAGCCAAAATCCCACAGTACTAAATAGTAAATATACACAGATTTCCCAAATATGCACAGATTTTTATTCTATGCACACAAATATTTCTGAAAACCTTCTTACTCCATAGATTGTTAGTATGAATTGTCTATAAGTATCAAGTGTCTAACAAGTACAGCTAAGTGGCAAAACACAGATGTCGCTGTCCATGGTGCTGAAACATCCACCAGTCCAAATCCAAAGGGTTTTGAATAGATTTGATGAATTTAAGTTTAAAATCTTAAAAAAAATAAATAAATAAATTAAAAAAATGGAGATGTAGAGGACAATATGAACTATCAATGAAAACAGTTGCCAATAAAAAATAAAATAAGATAATAATAATAATAAAATAAATTAAAAAATCTATAAAAAATAAATAAATACATAAAATTAAATTAAATAAACCAAAATAAATTATAATAAAATAAATAGATAAATAAATCATTGTGCATGTTCGTAAAGCTCTTCTTTCACACCAGTTACAACTTTTTAATGCAGTGTTTGATTTTGAGCTTGACATGGCAATGGACATGACCATTTTCATTTGTTTCTTTTTTTTTAACACTATGAAGAATGCTTTTAGATCAGACTACATAAGTACAGTAAAACTGTATTATGTATAATGTCTTCAGAATAATATCTCAGAAAGTATTGGAGTGTCTGTAATCACAAAATTGTATTGATGCATTTCAATGACATCATAAAACCTCCTTCTAACTGGACTGTATAATGGAAAACTCCACTGCTCGATACAAATACAAATTCAAAGCTTCTTCTATGCGGTCTACACACAAAATATTGATCTCAGTCTATTAGAAAGACATTGGACCTTATAGCTCCAAATCAACACAAACTGGCTTGATCCAGCTCAACACCATCCTTATGATTAAATATATTCTAAACACCAGTGACGAGAATACAATGAATTCACTAAATGGAAGGATCGATAGGTTGACCAAGGGGCTGAACTCATTTCTTTATCTCATCTGTCCACCATAGCAAGATCTTGTCCACTCTTATTGGCTTGTTAAAGTAATTGACTCACCACTTAGACCCGATTGAGAACATTTAAAACCAAGATGAAAAAATCAATAATGGTGAAAAAGAGAAGACAGCTAGACGAATGATTAAAATGACTCTTAGTAGACCTTTCATCAATACGGCTCTATCTGAATGTATGTAATTAGACAGAAGACAGGTAGAACGCGATGGTTCAAACGGCAGGGGACAGGCTGCGTCGGGGTGGGCTCCTTAACGCGGGTTACTAATGACATTTGTATGATTTCACATCGATCGGATCTGCTACAAGGCTTGTGTCACCGCGAGCCAATCCGTGCGCGCTTTGGTTGCTGTGGTCCTGCCGCTGACAATAACGTGCTGTCACCTGCGCGCTCACGTTCACGTCACTGCAGCTGTTTGTGTGCGTGCGTGCAACAGTTCTCAACACGTTCAACTCAACAGGAAGTTTTACCTGACTGAAGCGCGTGAACTCCCGCTGCACCACGCTGACCACGGGCACCTGCAGCGCGCTCGACACGAACTCCAACTTTACAAACTCGTCCCTGTTGCGCGGGAAAGCGATCATGGCCAAGACCCCCTGAACCACCACAGTGTGACAGACACTTTCCACGAAGGACAGCGGGTCCTCCTCCGTGTCTGGGGTGGCAGATGAATCCGAGGAGGCGAAGGAAAAGGCGGGCAGTTCTCCGAGTCCAGAGCCCACTGCCAGAACCATCTCCATGGTCAGGTTATAGGGCAAAACCCCGGCCCGGTTCACAGCCTCCACCGCGAGCAGAACCGAGTCCCTTGGTGAGAACACGCGGTTCTCCCTCGGGCTGTTGTCCTCCCGTTGGCGCGCTTGGTTCTTGTTCCTGTTGGTGCCTCTAGTCCTGAGATTGGCAGAGCCAGGCGCACTGGCACTAGTCCTGACCTGCCTGTCGTCCCACTGCTCGGACGCGGCAGAGGGGGCGAAGAGCCGCGGTTGCACGTGCAGAGCCCCGAGTCGGACCGTGTGGCCGATCCTCTTGAGCACCTGGCACGGCTGCGGGTGCGAGTGTGCGCGTGGAGGCAGATAGGTGAGAGCGCACAGCAGCAGACACGCACCGTTCATCCTTGTCGTCAGCCCCATCGTCCCGCCTGGCGCTCCGCAGCTGCAGCCGGTCCGCGGACACAAACAACAGGCTGCCGAAGCGCGAGACCCGGCACCAGCAGATCTCCAAAAGTGGCCCTTTTCATCTCAAAGCATCACTCAAGCCTCGGGTTACAAAACAAGAGGCAGAAAAGAGACAAGGCATATTCCTTTTGCGTGAGGGAAAACACAAAGCTCCAAATTGTTGCTCTATTGCGCATCACGCACATTCCCAAACACTCCAATCCAGTGGAAACACCTCAACGTTATCCCCAAATCAGTATCCAGAGCGCACGAGCCCAGAGGCGAAAACGGTGAAAGCAAAAGCAATGACAGCATGAAAAACATACAACACATGAACGTTGTCCTTAGCGCGCGTGATGCCTGGCTCGAGACAACCTCCACACTGACACTTGTACCGGCGAGACCTCCGGCACGAGAGCGCGGACTTGTGCGCACGTTCCTCAACAGTCCTTAGTCCACCCACTACCCCACCCTCTCCCAAAGTGTGACAGGGAACAAGTTGCATAAGGGATATATGATCAAAGACATGCGGCAGAGAGAGAAGGTCTACTGTAAAGACTCTCTCAAAAACCCAGCATTTAAAATATTTCATTCATCCATTTCTGCTGTCATATCTGTCCTCTAAAGACATGAGTGCAAAATGAAAATGAAATACAAATAATAAAAAAACATAATTTCTTTAGCCACTTCTTCTGGTTTCATATGAGGGCATGTCTGATTAAAAAATTGAAATATATATTATGTGGTTATTTATTATTATTATTATTATTATTTTTTTTCATATTCACCGCTGTTAACCTAAATCCATAAATTACTTGAACACATGACCAAAAAATTAAATTAAATCTATAATAGGCCTACACAGTCACAAAATACAAAAGTAAAGTGATTGTAAATTTACCTTAAAGCCCCACTTTTTTGCGGAAAAATAGCTCGTTTGGATGTTTTTACTGCACATAAAAATTCAGAAAAAAAAAAAAAAAACATCCTTTATGAAAACTTGGCGTCATTAATTCTTATTTCAATAATATCCCACACTATGTCATACAATTTACTTGAGAGTATTCATAATTATAGTTCTGACTTTCTGTTTATTCTATTTATTCCATTCTGTTTCTACATTCAGTTCAGTTTCCATCTCCACAAAGTTCCGTGGTGTTGCTTTAATATTTTTCTTTTTGCATAAATATTCATTGACTGAAATCTGGCCGTGAGTGGTCTCTTTGTGAACTTTCTACACTGTCTGTTTTTATGACCTTAGCCTTACAATTAGAACAGATGTTGTTAGGATAAGCTTTATTAGCTCAATAACTCAAGATTTATTGTTGTATTTAATGGAAGAGTCAAATAGTTCTGAGGCATCCTTTAAAGGTCTTATATTACACAAAATGGACTCTTGTGAGCTTTTAGAATCCGTGTGTCATTCGTTCGTTTGTTTTTCAAAATAAAACTGAAAATAAGAAAATGAAAAAAAAAAAACAACTATTTTCTTTATTATTTGTCTCCAAACCAAAATGAAAAAATGGATAATGATTTTTTTTTTTTTTTTTTTTTTTTTTTTTTCCGATTTTGTGTGTAAATGAATAATGGAAAAAAAAAAACAGATAGCGGATGTTTCTCGTTTCCATGACTTAAACTGCGATGCCGAACTGAACCAGGACTGAACCAGGACTGAACCAGGACTGAACCAGGACTAAACCAGGAATAAAACAGGACTACACCAGGACTGAACCAGGACTAAACCAGGACTAAACCAGGACTAAACCAGGAATAAAAAGACCTACACCAGGACTAAAACAGGACTAAAAGGACTGAACCAGGACTGAGTGCTGGCACAGGCCCAGAGGTGCGCCTGCGTAGACTGCTGGGTGATCAGAACTGAGACCGGGACCAGACCAGGACCAGACCAGGACCAGACTAGGACTGAGACTGGGATCAGACCAGGACCAGGACCAGGACCAGAACTGAGACCGGGACTAGACCAGGACTGAGACCAGGACTGAGACCGATTTAGTCCTGGTTCAGTCCTGGTTCAGTCTGTATATGGCGCAAGTCTGGCATCACAGTTTAAGTCACAGAAACAGGAAATGGCCATTATCGTTTTTTTTCCCCATTATTTAAAACTCAAGAAACAAATCATTATCTGTTTTTTTTTTTTTTTTTTCAGACAAACAATGAAAAAAATTTTGTTTTTTCATCTTCTTATTCTTGGTTTTATTTTTGGGGAAAAAAAAAAAAAAAAAGAAAAATTGAACGAATGATACACTGATTTTTTAGCAATGTTAGAATGTTGTTAACTCCTCAAAAACATTTCGGAGGCGCCTAACACATGGCCCAGGGAACCCCAGTTTGAGAATGGTGGAGTCAGATGAGTTACTGTAGCCCTTGCTCTGGATGAAATACTTGAATGCCTCAGTCAGTTTGACCATCTGCAGAAGAAATAAAAACATATGATCATAATTAAACTCCTTTTTCTTTTTTTAATTTAACAAATTACTTTGTACATTACTTTGTAATGTCACGAAGTCAAAGTTTTCAAGTTAACAGCTAACATTTACCTTTAGTCCAGTAGAGATTGGAAATTTTAGGGCTGAAATTAACCAAATGATTCTAGTGAAGGTATATGGAGTTTAAAAACACAATTGAGCATGTCCTGTATCACCTCAAGACATCACAAGGTGGAGTGTTTTCTGTTTGAGAGAAGAGCTCAACCTAAATACGCAGCAGTTTTGTGTCAAACATGTGTGAATGAAACAAAACCCAACTCCAGGTATGTTCGTGGTGAGGAAACTCTACTGTCATAACCACACAAAAAACTCTTGACTGCAAATTTGACAGTGAAGGTGTAGTTTAAAATGATGGGGAAAACCTTTGTCAATCCATTATGTTTGTACAGGTATCGACGTTCTCCCTTGGGTCAAATGCAGAGGACAATTTCTCTATACAGGGAATAAAATTAAATAAATACAGGTTGGTGATTATAGACAACAACTCTAAACACTGCAGGAGGCAAAAATGAAGCTGTTCAGGTGATTTCTGAGAGTGGAGACAATGGGCAGGGTCGGGGGTTTTAGATGGATAGCTCAAGTTGAAAATTTTGGAACGCGTTGGAGCAGAAAAGAATAGTAAATATATTGACTAAGGATAGCTGCTGGCAGGAAGTGTAACAAATGAGCGAAATGGAGATTTATGGATGTGCTGGAAATGGACATCAACCGTGGTGTAAGGTGGAGCCAGAAAAAAAACAAAAGTTAAAATTTAAGACAAGCTTTTATATTGATTGTCTTTTTAAGTATGTGTTTGTTAATATATTTGCAAAAAAGGTGTCCTATGTAACTTTTCTGGTGGGTTCACTACCTGATTGTCTCCATGGGGATGTAGAAAGCAAGATGTCTGACCAGCCAGTCGCTTTCCATTCTGTTCAAATCCCAGGAGAGACTGGAGCTGGACAACAGAGCGTGAAAATCTTCCTTCCAAACTTGAGACGGTCCAACCACAGCCACTAATTTGTATCTCAAAGGGAATCAGATGGAAAGTCTCCAAGCTAGAAGGTCCCCCTGAATTGTACCCTTTATGAAAGTTCGTTAATCTATATACATGTAAATAAAAAAATTTAAAAAACTGCATACTGCCTCAGAAACTCCTGTGTTCTCAGTAAATGTGCCACTATTTCAGGATTTTATATTACATATTCCAATGAAAGACATAGTTAAGACCTTCCTAAAAGTGAATGATTTTTGAACAAATTCTGTAGCTTTTTAAGTTTCTTGTGTTACAAATTATGTGCATGGCAGCAGGTAAGAAAATAATTAATGTTTCTTCCCAAATCAACAGTTACAGATGCTCTAGGACATGGGGAATAAGAAAAAAAATTATAAATACGAGACAAATAAGGTCCCGCCATTTGGTCTCGTTACATACACATTTAATTTTATTATGATATAGAATACTGATTGTCTAACTCAATACATCACAGTGCGGGACGCGGCCGGCTAAAGGCCAGCGAGCATGTCCCCCCCTCTCCAAGGCACAGCAGTTACCTGAGTGCCGCCAAAGAAAAGTGGGCGCCCGGAGGGTGGCATTCTCACCGAGAGACACGGGACACTCTCTAAAATGTTTGTAACATTTACATGTTACAACATACACATCAACATGTATACCTACTTAAAGCTCAGATACATAATTTGGCACTTCAATTGTTTCTGTAAATTTTGTAAAAATCTGCTCAATAATCATTTCTCACTCCTTTATGTAGTTTTTACTTATTTTTTACATTGTTTTTGATGCAAATTGATCACAGGTCTTTTTGATTGGTTAATCCACCTGTCAATCAAATCATGAGACAGGATACAGCTCCAAATCCACTAGTATCTATAAAGTTTTATCAACATTCACAGTCACAGCACAGTCCTACTTACTGACGTTGCATTTATTCAATTACAGATGTTTTTACTGTTCCAAAATACCTATTTGTACGTAGGCAGTGTTGCCTCTCCACAGATCTGACCTGTAACTTGGTCTGGCATGATTTGTGTAGGAGTCCATGTCTGATTTAACAGCAAAACCAATCTATGGGTACTGTTAAAGTAAATTTAAATCTTACATACTGTGGAAAATTCCAAGCAAACTTAAAACATCTCCAAGGAAACAATCAGTCAGCATACTCTGCACCAGAAAAGTTACATGGTGCACCTTTAATCCCTTCTGCAGCATCCTTATAAGTCTTAGAAGTAAATAGCAATAAGAAATTGGATAAAGTGCAAAGAGAAATTGTAAAAAAAAAATAAAAATAAAAAAAAACACTAAAACTCATAAAAAATAAAACATAGAAATTACTTTCTCACACTAATTTAAGCATTTATTTAATTTCATTTGCAAGTCTAGAGGTGACAACCCCATCTGAAATCATTAAAAATCCAAAGTCAAAGCAAAAACATCTCCATGGACACAAGCAGACGGCATACCCTTGACTGGAA